GCAAGGAAATTGAATAGCAAACAAATATACTAACAAACATTGTCTTGATCCTAAAATGAGCTTCATTTAGCGATCATCACCCCTGATGAGAATATATTCTGCTGTCGGGTCAGTCTTAAATAAGATAGGCAACCGGACCAATGCTAGTGAAAAGCCATCCAGCCATTCAGTGAGGGTGTTTCTTTGAAACCATAATAGCAGTAATCACTATTCGAATGCGCCTCGAACCTCTTCTGCTCAATATATGCAACTGGATAGTAAATAACGTCGCAAACTCCTGTTTTGAAAAAAGAAAGACCGAAATGACCCTCAATAGGAAACACAGGGCATCAGAGCTTAATTGCGCGTCCACCCACAATGCAATGATTGTCCAAAAATCGATGCCAACAGAATATCGTGGAATTCATCATATTAGAAAATTGCAGATAGATCTCCCAACTCGAGTCCTATGGACTGCTCTGTATTGAGTGGGCCATAGGCAAGGCATTGCTGCAAGCATGGTAACTACATCGACTAGCTAAGCAGTCGCTCATGAAAGCCTTGGACCTTCACGACAACACCTCCATACACAATCAGGGTCGATGACTTTCTAAGAAGTCTTCGTTTATTTGTCAACGCAGAAAGCGGTCACTTCCAAAGAGCAATATTGTTTCTGTTTGATACCTTTCCACCAATATGATGGTATTTTAATTTGAAACTCTCGGAAACACTGCTTTTTTATGTCCAATTTATGCTGTTACCGTGATTTTTGCCGCCCACACTCTAAATTAAGTGATGTGCAAGTACGCCAAGCCCACTCTAATAGTGAAATAATTGCGCCTAGGGGCGCCCTCAGAACAAGTGAAGGATACCTTGAATTCTCCATCCCTAATTCTGGAATGATACCAGCTTAATCACAGAGAAACCTGTGCACAAATAGACAAGGCTACGTCTAGATTCAAAGATAGATAGATATGAAGATACACACATACATATAGAAGAATTGATTTTTTAATACGACCCTTGGAATTATAGCA